TCCCCCATTGTGGGGAGATGGGCGGGGACAAATTAAATAAATAAATAAAATAAAATAAATAAATAAATAAGGCAACAGGGAGACAACCTTTAGTACTTCTAAGGCTTCTTCAATAATTTGCAGAGAGCTGTATCAGTGAAAGGCTGATGGGCAAATAAAGTTTGTTTTGAAGGTTAGTTTTTGTAGTTCCCACTTCCAGACAAAACTGAGACTTAGAGCCAAGGTGATTGTGTTGGGAGGCAATGGAACAAGTTTATTCTCCTTTGAAAGAGAGTATGTCTTTCTGCTGGCTCGCCCTCCCTCCCTCCCTCCCTCGGCAAAATTCCAAGTCCTGTTGATGCCCTTTAAGGACCTTTGCAGTTTGGGACCTACCTCCTGCTGCACTGCGTGAAACCAAACCTTGAGGCCTCTCTCGGAGCACTCCTGTCTTTTGAGGTTAGATAGTGAAGAGAGCCTTCTCTGTAGGGGCAGCCTGAGGAGATCAGTGGAACTGCAACTGTTTAGAGGCCAGGTGGACATTATTTTATTTGCCCAGGCTTTAACCTGAATTGTGATTCTGACTTTCTTACAGTTATGGCTCCTCTGTGGCACGCCTGCTACTTTTAACAGATGTCTTGGTATTTTGTTGTTTTGCCCATAGGCTATTAGATTTATAATGTGAAATTACTGTATTTAGGTTCTTATCTAGAAATGGGGAGGGATTCTTGGTTTTTAATCTACCTGCTGTGCCAGTACACAATATAGCCTTGTTCCCAAGTAGGTAAATATTTTTATAATGAGCTTGTCTTCTCCAGTGGACACATTTGTTCTGTATGTTTCTCAGGTTGCAGAAGAACATCTTTGCAGCTCTGTGCTGCCTCCTGAGATCCAGGCGCTGCTCTGAAGAACAGCGGGCCAGGGGGCCAGTGCGTGACACAGGAGGTTGCCTGCTGCTGAAGTGCCAGGGCCTAGTCCCCGCCCTCTGTCATGCCCCAGGCTTCTTCCAGGAAGACATTGATCTTTTTTGTTTGATCTTGCACTGTTTGAGTTCAGAGGTCAGAGTGAAAAAAAAAGCCTCCCTAATCTTCCCACTCCGGACGCAAACTCTGTTTATCACAGGCTGGCTCTTCCTGTGTTCCACTGTAGATGGATGGATTTATACTGAACTCTGTGTCTGGCCTGGTCCTCAAGTTAATAATTCTCCAGAAAGTGGCCCTGAGCACAGCTGAGGTCAAGCAAGAACCTCGGCAAAACCCCTGCCCGGCAGAAACACAGACAGGCATTCAGGCAGCTGCTGGCTCCCTGTTTTGAGCCTTTTGCTGCCAGCCTTCCTTCTCACCTGTCAGCAACTCTGCTGCGCCTGCAGTTTGGACTCTTAAAGCGGAACCAGCCTACTCCCTCCCTTCACACTTTCTTCTAATCCTTGGAAACACAAGTCAGCACAGCAATGGCAGGAAAGAATTATGGCTATCACCGGTTTGTCATATTCACCGCTATGTACATTGGGTACACCTTGTACTATTTCAACAGAAAAACCTTCTCCTTCGTGATGCCTTCAATCATGGAAGAGATACAATTGGACAAAGATGACTTGGGTAAGTCTCTCTCTCTCTCTCTCTCTCTCTCTCTCTCTCTCTCTCTCTCTCTCTCTCTCTCTCAACCCTTTGAAGTGCTCAGAGGCTTCATCCCATGAGTGTTTGAGGAAATTTGAGAACCAGCTTAAGGCTTGGCACAGGTGTTGCTTTGCTAAGGAAACCTGTCGTTTCTCACTTTCTTTGGAAAGAAGCAAGACTTTGCAATTCTGCAGCTACTATTTAGACAGGCTGTTCTTTGGACAATGTTTAATGGCCTTTATTTGGAGAGAAGAGGAATTGTATTGCTAGATTTGAGTTCAGTCCTTGACTGGAATGGGCATAATAATTCCAGCTTCTTTAATCATGCAGCAAGAGCAAACTGTGTTTGGTATCCACAGTGGCCACTCAGAGGCCATGGGGAGCCCACAGCCAGACCTGGAGCTCAATAGTGCTGTTTTATTGCCGTCCTTGGTGGAAGAAACACTTCTCCTTATCTGAAGTGGCTGTAATCCGTGCCTTTCCTCCTCTTTTGCTAGAATCAGTCCTGCTGCAGTCGGGAAGCAGTTCAGAATTCTCAGGCCTTAGACCTGAAGTCATGTAGTAGTTGCCTTGCTCTTCGTCAGTTCAGGTTAATGCTGCCTGTCCAAGCCCCTTTCAGACCAGGCTCTTGGGTCACGGTGATTGTGCTGTTGAAGTTTCTTGGGGACTCTCGTCCACTTCAGGTTTCATCACGAGCAGCCAATCTGCAGCCTACGCCATTAGCAAATTTGTTAGCGGCATCCTTTCAGACCAAATGAGTGCCCGCTGGCTCTTCTCCTCTGGCCTCCTGTTGGTGGGCTTAGTCAACGTGCTGTTTTCATGGAGTTCTACCGTTGCCCTGTTTGCAGGGCTGTGGTTCTTCAACGGACTGGCTCAAGGCCTGGGCTGGCCCCCCTGTGGCAAAGTACTGCGCAAGGTGAGTGAATGAGCCCGCTTTTCTCCTGGCAGCCAGCCTCCTGCAGGGGCAGCCTAGTGTGGGAGCAGCAGGCCAAAATCTTGTCCCAGGGAAGCCACCAGAAGGCAGCCTGAAGCAAGCAGCCGCTTGCTCTGCTTTTCACTGCGCAGAACCCGCAAGCTGTGGACGCTGCATCGGCTGACTTTTGTGTTAGTGCTGGGAGCTTGTAGCTCTTTAGCGGGACTAAGAACTGCCCTGGCAGAGGCCAAGCCTCTGCCCTCTGCTAGTCAGAGATGCCATTATTGTAGGCGGGGATTGAATTGGCAAGGGCGGTGGGAGCTATAAATTGCAAACCATATCACATTGCTCTCAGATATTTTTGGGATCCTTTGGCCCTGAGCAGGCAGCCTTGTTCAGGGATGGCTGGGGCTTTGATGGCTAGGAAGGGTCTCCTGGCCACCTTGAAAAACTCTGAAGACCTCTGTCTGACCCAGAACCTGCTCACCCAAATGCTTTTGGGAAGCTGTCAGACTGAATCCAGTTGCTTCCTCCTGCTCAGGTTCCCTCACAACTGGCGTTCAGAGGCAAGTACTATCTGTAGATGGCGTGACTTGAGGTCATTGACAACCCGGAGTTAAGCTTTCTGGAGTGTCTGCGGTGTTGCTTGACTTCATCTGTATCTGTGATCCTTGGAAACACAGAGAGTGGAGTGCCCAGGTCCCCATGTCTGCTGCCAGTAAAAAAAAAAAAAAAAAAGTGTACCTTCTGTGTTTTTTTATTAAACATTCTTGTTAACTTGACTTCATCTGTATCTGTGATCCTTGGAAACACAGAGAGTGGAGTGCCCAGGTCCCCATTTCTGCTGCCAGTAAAAAAAAAAAAAAAAAAGTGTACCTTCTGTGTTTTTTTATTAAACATTCTTGTTAACTGCTTTGAGGAAATCATGCTAAACAATTGGTGTGGAAATGTGCTTTCAGTTCATTTCACTTTTCCGAGGACTGTTCTAGGGAGCAGGGAAATCTGTCCGGAGAGCTAGCGTGCCTCTCGGCAATAGCGCCTGCTGCCCCTTTTAAGCCATCAGTACTTGTGACAACCTGGAGGCTGTGCTGGAGGTCAGTGTGTACAAATTAGGACCTGCCCTTGGCATAGGCACCAACATACCCGTCTTCTCTCTTTCCCTTCTATATAGTGGTTTGAACCCTCCCAGTTTGGGACTTGGTGGGCAGTCCTCTCCACCAGCATGAACCTGGCCGGAGGGCTTGGGCCCATTGTGGCAGCTCTGATGGCGCTGAGCTATGACTGGCGCACCACCCTGGCCCTCTCTGGCTCTGTGTGTGTGATTGCCTCCTTGGTGTGTCTGTTCCTGATTAAGAATGAGCCTTCAGATGTGGGACTGCCCAGCCTTGAGTCTGGACCCAAGAAAGGGAAAAAAGGTGAGTGTGTGGGGTCAGTGGTGAGACATGTCCCCTTGATCAGAGGCTACCATCTTCAGGGCCATGAAAGCAGGCCTTCTTGGTTGCGCTTCTACCCCCTGCCTTCTGGAAATTAGTGGAAACATGGCTGTGTCCTCAAGCCAGGGATGCAGGTTTGCTCTAAGTATCCCTCTTGAGGAGGAGTTGCTTTTATTCTTCTGCATGTGTCTCCCATTCATACTGTTTTAATCCCAGTTACATATTGGGGAGTTGTATGCTGATTGGAGCAATCTTTAAGGCTAATTTATCAATAAATCAGTCAAACCTCCTTCAGTTTGAGGAGCAGAGAGGAAGCGTGTAGTCTGACAGAGGGCCAAGATACAGGGGAGGTGCAAAGGAGAGTGGTCAGGGGTGGAGTGGTGTGGCTCAGGCCAGATTGCTAAATGGTCTCTTTCTTGCAGACTTGTCGGTGGGTGACAACACCTTGGCTGAGCTGCTGTGTTCTCCATACCTCTGGGTCCTTTCGTCTGGCTACCTGGTGGTGTTTGGTGTGAAGACATGTTGCACAGACTGGGGACAGCTATTTCTCATTCAGGAGAGAGGACAGTCTGCCCTCGTGGGTAGGAGACAGCACCTTTATCCTGGGGTTTTAAGAGCTGAGCATGTCCAAAATGTTGACGTTTGGCCTTGGTAAGCCAGAGTCAGTGCTCTGTGGGACAGTACCTGAGGGGAAGTCTTTCGCTTGACCCAGGAAAGAACTGACCAGGAGTAGAGGGGAGAGGTGCCAGGAGCGGCTGTGCAACGGGCAAGGAAGTCTGGCAACTCCTTTCTGCCTGCAAGGATGCAGTCTCGTTTGGAATTGTTACTATGCTCTTTGCTCTATAGGAAGTTCCTACATGAGTGCCTTGGAAATTGGGGGCCTGGTTGGAAGCATCGCTGCTGGCTATCTTTCAGACCGCGCAGTGGCCAGGGTAAGCCTTAAGGAGAAAGGACAGCCCCTGTGAACGTCCCTGGCCCGGAAAAACGCTATGCAGGCACTGTGGATGCTGGTACAGAGGTGGTTTTGTGTGGGATGGGCTGACAGACATTTGATAACTAGGATATCACACTTCCCTTCCGGATCTATATGTGTGTTGCAGGTGGGTCTCTCAAACTACGGCAACCCCCGGCATCCCCTTCTCATCTCCATGATGGCAGGCATGGCTGCCTCATTGTTCCTCTTCCGAGTCACAGTAACCAACAGCTCGCCCAAGGTAAACCGTAGAAAAGAGGCTCAGTTGTACAAGGCAGACCCAATTCACTTAGCTCCTATCAACTGATGTATAGCATCAAGGTGCTACTTGGACTGAAGGGAAGGCAAAGCTGTTTCTCTCCAGGAGGTATTTGTGGTCCTCCACCCAATCTCAACATGTTTAACACTTGCTTGGAGGAGGTGCCGAGATTTGTGAGCATCTTCAATGTTTTTACCTTTAGGTAAATGGCACATTTTGTGAGGATTTCCACAAGTAAAATGAACTGCGGCTTTTAGAGACAAATCTTAATGGAGCAAATGCAAAGTTTTGCAACTTTCAGGGGAACGAAATTAAGGTTCTGAAATCAGGGTGAAATTTACTTTGCTTTCTGGACCTTTTGCAATTACAAGTCCATCTATTGAAGCCACGATGGACCAGTTCATGGGACCATCCCAAAAACATGGAGTTCCCTCTGGCTTCAGTGCAAAAGGCTTGGCGAGAATTCCAAGGATGGGGAATCTTCAGATATTAATGATGATGTCCCAGTCAGCAATGATGGGGGTGCTATGTCTTCTGTCACTAATTAAAAGTTTTTAGCCAGCAAAGTATCTTGCTTTGGAAAAGAGCAGGTAAGGATTTTTGCTTCTGCATACGATTGCTATTGCATTTTCTCTTTTCCAAACATTCTCTCGTGCTCCTTGTTCATTCTCCCCCTTTTTCTTTTTCTAGGGAAATTACTCTTGGAATCAGTTCCTCCACCCTCTGGCTAATCTTGTGGGCTTTACAGAACATGAGGTCTTTATTTTCTCTCTCTCTCTCTCCCTCCCTCCCTCCCTCCCTCCCTGTTTTTAAATACTTACTACGTGATTTATTATTTCTATAGAAATTGTGGCTGTTATTTATTACTTAATGGATTACTGAGAGACAACACCACTTACTGAAGAAAAGATTAAACATCAGCGTGCTTCATCTAAGGCACCATTTTGCAGAAGATAGTGGGGAAAAGAAATCCAAGTGGCAGATGCAGGGAGCAGGGAGAGATGTCATGCTCGTAGTCCTAACCTTTTGTCTGACTCTATTTTTGTAGTTGTGGATCCTGCTGTTAGGAGCAGTCTTTGGATTTTGTTCTTATGGACCGATTGCGCTGTTTGGAGTCATAGCCAATGAGAGTGCACCACCCAACTTGTGCGGCACTTCTCATGCTATTGTTGCACTCATGGCTAACGGTATGTGAAAACGTAACTGGAATGGAATGAGGATGAAAGCACACAGTGCACCCAACTATCTTTTTTTCTTTTCAGTGGGAGGCTTCTTGGCTGGTTTGCCTTTCAGCACAATTGCCAAACACTACAGCTGGGGAACAGCCTTCTGGGTAGTGGAGTTGATCTGCATAGCCAGCACCGTGGCCTTTTTCTTCCTGAGAAACATCTGCACTAAGATGGGTCGGATGCCAAAGAAAGTTGATTGAAACACCGCAACGGCTCGGCTGCAAAGGAGCCTCCCACGTCCACAGCCGATGCTTTGAAAAATGGAAGCGGCTCTAAGCAGATTGAAGTTTGCTGCTGGGCTGTATAAAGCGGTGGCAAAATCTCACTTGGTCGTTATTACCAGTTCTCATCCTTCAAAACCTAAGGGATGCCCGTAGTGGTTGGAACTAATGAGCAAACATTTGGCAGCCACAGCTGCTGGGTTCACTGGAGCCCAGAGCAGTGGGGACAGAGCAGCAGAACAGGAGCTTCATTTTTGAGAATCACGTCACTCATTCCCCTTTTGTATGTGTTCTTCCTTTATTTCCTTTGCCATGCTACGTTAAATTTTCAAGTGATATCTTCTAAGACTTCCCACAAGTTACCCTGAGGTGTAGCCAAACAGTAAATAGTTAGAAAAGAGGGGAGCTGTAATCTTACTCTATTTAGCTCCAGTGGATAGTAGATAAGGTTAGAAGTGGACTTAAAAACTACTTCTAGAATTTGAGGAAGGGTAACCATCAGATCAATCAGATTCTTGATTACATCACAAGCATTAGTACAGACTGAGGTGTTAGACCTCGCTTGTCTAATGGAAGAAAAACAGTATTCAGCTGTGGGGGTTGGGACTTCCTAACAATTCTGCAGCCATAAGGATCCCCAAATGTAACTAGCTGCCTTTAGTCTTGCAATGTAGATTCTAAGTTATGAGTACTGTATGGAATGTATGCATCACCAAAAATAAGAGATTGTCCAGTAAAAGCTCATGTTTCCCCTGCTGAACAGTTGCTGGGAGTCAGGTGGCATATAATAACTCTTGTTGTTGGATATCAAATAATTAATTCCAAGGTCAACATTAAAGTCTGTCTTCTTCCTTTAAAGAATATTTTACTTCCACATGTAAGAAGCAAAGTGCCAAACATAAATTAAACAGGTACATGCATCCAACAAGATTTTCTTCTAACGTCCAGCAGCAGAGGAGGTTCAAACAAGCTCCCATCGCGGCAGGGGGTGGCGGGGGAGAGATTCTGGTCCCAAGATCCAGATAGTCTGCAGGGCAAAGGAAGTGGAAGAACTTCACCCTATAATCCTGGGACGAAAGGGCCTGCTTTCTCTGCTACCTCCAGCGCAAGCTTCAAGTTTTGATCGAAGAGCTCACACCTGAAATATCAGCATGTAAGAGAAGCGCAGTTAGAATAAAAGGCCATCCTTACTCCTACCTCCACGTTTTTCATTCTCGTCCCCTGCATATTTATTATTAGAGCGTGCTACAGTATAGAACGGGAGACTTCGCTGTGCCCGAAGAAGCTTCCTTATTCACTGTGACTTGCCGAACTCACGTATGTTAACAGGATACGTTACGCCCTACGGCAGAAATGTGGTACAAAGAAGCTAGAAAGAAAAGCACAACGTTTCTATAACGCCACTGAATTTGCAGAAACCCCTAGGGAGGAAAGCGAGCCGGCAGGGCATCTAGGCGCCCCGAAACAGGCTTCCTGGGATGGCCTTCGTGCGTGCGTCCGCTGCTCAGAGGGGGCGAGGGGGCTCTCGCGGTGTTGAGGAGGAGGCGCTTCTGTCCTACCTGATGGGCATCTCCAGAGAGTAGAAGGGATTTTTCAGGGCAAAGTCCGAATATATCTCGTAAATCTTG